TTAGTGATTGATACAGTTATACTAGAAATATTAATTCATGAGTAGAGATTGCCAAAAAGAAGGAAATCTTAAGTTTTATAGACAGTACCAGTTAATCAGGCTTCTAGTGACTGAAATAACTTACACTTGAAAATTTCCCATGATCTCCAAAGCATAGGTTGACTTTTATGATCAAATTATTAACGCAATTATGATTTATCATTGAGAAGTTGCTAATTGTAAGTTTAAAACATAAATGAATAAATAGGACTGAAGTGATTAATTCGAAAAGCATGAAAAATATTTCTGGGACAAAAATGTCCAACCAAAGCCTATTACTATGAAATATCTTTCTAAAAAAGATAATAGATGTATGTTGTGTTCAATTTTGCCATAAATTGTCACATTATGAAGACTATGAATGGAGTCATTTCTAACTAAATATTTCGTCTTTACGATTCTTATGAGCATTAAATTTATTAATACGTTCATATTCACGTAGTATAGTAACTGTAATACCGTGATGGAAATGTGTTTAGTGTAGATACGTTACTAAATATTTTCTATTAAACAGTAATATGTCGACTTTGAAGTGTAAAAATCAGCACTGGATCATTTAATAATGGTCATAAGTAAAGTAAAACAGCTGGAAGTTAAACAATTAATTATTAATCCAACACTAATTCAACGCATAACATATTAAGTTTTATCATATGTACCAACTATGAATCCAGTGTTCGAAGGTGAATGTTTTCTCCATAGTATATCTCATCATATAGTTTTTTGATAATGATCCTTCTAAAACTGTTCAGTTTAATTGTAAAAACATAAAGTCGAACAATCATTATACAGATAGAATAGAATATCAGAAAATATTGTCTGTACTACAATGATTACTTAATCTTTTATAAGCTCACTATGCACGCAACAAATATATGTAGTGACTCACATTTATCACGAGAACACGACTGGTTTAATAAAAACAATTATTATCATAACTAACTGTACCAGTGTTTGTTTTAACGTGCTTTTGTTTGACTGTGCTAATGACAGCTATTTTGTGCTTCCATTCTGATTCTTACACTTTGATTGTGACTTCGCGCGAATTCCGTTACGCTCTGTAACCAAGCTTGTATCCTGGCACGATCTCGGTATCCTTTCGATGCCACGAGATCGCCAGCGAATATATCTCGATTTGGTCCATTAACTGTCTTCTGATATTTGGCTTCTCGGGGATCTTATGGATTTATTTGGTTACGTTCAACCTTCGCCTTCTGATTTACTTGGCACGTGTTTTTTGGTAGCGGTGTTCATAGTTAACCTCAACTCGACACCACGCCACATATACATGACCATACTAAGTTATACATAGTCATCTAATCCAAGTATTGTTTTGAGTATAAAATTACTAAGTAGGCGGTTAACAATATAAGGTCAAATTTTATTAATTGATCGAAACTACAGGAAGTTAGTTTCTACCACCTACGACTCAGTGTATAGTTGTACGCATATGCTGATTAGCACAGACATTCTAAAGTATCTCTTGATAAAGTGAAGCTTGAAGATAACGAGGAATTATGATTAAATAACATTATTTTATAGATGAAATGTAATAAATGATAAATCTAGTGACGTGCTAGCTGATAGCTGGTAGTTTAATAACTTACCAATATGCCATTCGTTTTCAGAACAGACAGTAACTAATAAGGCAAGAAGAAAGTTGAAAAATGAAGAAACAGATGACATTTCAACACATTTGCAGGGTTTCCTCTTTGTAGTCAGCTCCAACGAAGGGTCATTTTTCTTGTACACCTTTCTTGGTGGTATATATATATATTTGGAGGATAATTTATGTCACTTTATTTATGAGGTTATATTTAGATCAGGGTAGATTTATTACACAGGGTAGAAATAACATTAGCAGTAATTTTGCAGACTTCTCGTTATGGAATTACTATAGTTACTAAAACAAAAATGAGTCACTACAGAAAAACATCAAAATTTATATTAGCAATTATGTCAGCTTCATTTTAAGCAGACCTAGAGGCTTTTATGGTAAAAGTTGGTATGGAAACGAATCACTGGTCATCGTCAAGTTTCTTAATTCAACATAGGACACATAATAAATTATGATTTTTAGCCTCTAATGCATACTTATAAATTGGTGAAATTTAATCATTCAGTTTAAATTGGATGAGATGAGACAACAGTTGACGTTCTCATGTCCGATAAAAAATATAAATTCCGTTGAAAAATTAGAAAACAAAATTTTCTTGGATAAGATGATATCCTGTGATCAGTGATCACCAGGCGACAACACGTTCAGGGATAACTTGTTTTTCAACTGAAGTATTGGAAACAAGATTTTGGTAACATTCAATTTTTTAGAGAATCCTGTTAACTCTGGTATAGATATACTAAGCGATACAGAATAGAAATAATCAACTCCCAAAATCACTACTGTCAGTCAGTCACAACGTAGAACCCATACGTATGTACATCGGTTCAAGTTAACGTACCGCACTAGCACAGAGATGAAGTCGTCAGGCCAAATCCCAGATTAGTAGAGGTAGCACAGTATCAGTCGTAATAGGAGAGATTAGACATCGAAGATACAACCCGGAAAAATGTAAATTAGTGAAATAAGAATAAAAAAGTCATGAGGGATTTAGAATCCCAGGATTTGGAGAAAGACAAAGAATGAATGAACGTGTGCCATTTAAAACGATTTTGAGTCAAGTCATACAGTCTCTAACCATTGGTTACGATGATCACGCGAACCCCATCCAGGCAGTCTACACATATTAATATGGCGAAGTTCAATTGTCAGCGACTGCATAGACTGATGCCATTGTTTTCGTTTGGCCGTCTCTAACTTTCTTCCAGCCTGCTCCTAGACCAAACAAAAATCGTTCGTCGAGCTAGGCGATGGTTGAGCATACGTAACACATGTCCCAGCTACATCAGTTGATGAAGATTTACTACCTCTTCAGTCGATTACCCATCTTACCTAGTGCTTTACTCCTAACCCAGACAGTGCTTACTCCAAGACCCCAAAATACACGAGCAACGCTTCAAAGAAACCTATGGTCGAATACTAGTAACCTACGAATATCCCATATTCTTAACAGCCATGTTTCACATCCATAAAGTAGGACGGAGCAAACTGCTGCGCGGTAAACTCGCCCTTTGGTTGGAAGACTGATATCTAGCCTACGCCACAAGTGACGTAAAGTGACAAGAACACTGAATTTAAGCTATACGATAATGAGAACCAAGAACCGTTAAACATAGAAATTCTACTCATTTAAAGTAATATAAGGTAATTGTCAGTTCCTGACCATTAAGTCACGTCAGTTACACCTGTAAGATGTTGACTGCATTGTATATGTGACCTTTCTACAGCAAAGTTCAATGATGCCGACAGTGAAGAGTGACAAACATGGTTGAAACACTACATACGACCAAAAGATAAATAACCTGAGTTGTGTATGAATAGTTAGAACTAATCCTATTAGCATTTGAAACGCAGTAGCTGCGAGCATGACTTAAAATCTATTCCAATAGTTCAAACATCTTAACTATTTATTTGGCCTGAACCTTAAAAATAATAAATCATATTCCCTATATGATCATTTGCTTTTGGTTCATTTTCATATTATATTCCTCTTTTCCGTTGTTTCGAAATGTAGAGAACTACAGAATCAAGTTTCCGCACTTCTCAGACTGATTGTAGTTACTATAAAACATATTTACATAAAAACATCAGGCCGTTTCACAATGACTTTACAAACATATATCAGGCACTCTGAAAAGCGACTTCAGATCAATATCTCCATTTGTTGAGTCGTGTTTTGTTTACGCTGCAGATATCTTAACTGTTCGGCTACCTTTGATATGACGTTAAAGGAAATAAAAGATGAGGTGATACTCTTGGTACGTATTTCAGAATCGCAGAGAAAACGCATGCATTCTGATAAGAAAACATGTCTGTAAATAAATGAATACTTCATGACGTACACTTCTGAAGATTACATAAAATGGATGAATACTAAGTATAAAATAACAGAATAGAAGTAATCAAGTAGTTATATAAACTGGATGTGTACATGCAAAATATTTAGATAAAAAAATGACAGCATTACATATTGCGATAGCTCTGAAGGGGAATAAGAATCAAAACTCCAGTAATGTAAACGTATTAGTACCAATAAAGTACACATGCAGGACACTAGTATAAACTGGAATGCAGTAGTAGTCACATTGCATGGGTGCAGTGATGTACAAGGTTCATATCATATATATACAAACTGTACGAGGTTAATCAATAAAATAATTATTCCAGTCACTTTAAAACAGGTAAACTTGAGGACATAATGACATGGTTGCTATCGTCGCTAGAATAAATAGTTACTCTATTTGGAATCCCATTGATACGATTGTGAAATTAATCATTCAACACATTTGGCACGTCAGTATGAAGGTTTGACTCTTGTAATGATACTTTTTGTAGACGGTAAAGATATTGAGCCGCAGTTTTGGCACTTTCTAAATAAGTTTTCTATATCTATCTTATATTCTTTATGTTTTGCACCTTCGAGAACAAAGGGGAACGAAGCTTTGTCATTCATTTTCCCCCAGGAAAATATCGCATGTACTCCATTAGATGACTGAGATAAATTTAAAGGACCTCTGGAGTAAGAACTTGGTTTGTTCCTTGATGTTTTGTGTATGAAGGAACTTTCTCGTTTTCCGAATAACCGCATTCCGTATTCATATTATTATGATCATATTTCTGCAGTTGTTCAAAGTTGGTAACCTGGGTTGTGATTACATCCAACTGGGCTTCCATAACACTTAGAGCATTTTCAAATGGCGTTAAGATACACTCATCTACGTTCAACAAGTTATCTTGAGTTTGTGCTAACTTTCTCAGCTGTTCAACTGAAAAATGAAAGGTCATGTTGCTTAAATTTGTTATATGGTTGGCAAGATCAGAAAACTCATTTAACGTGGAATGGTCATATCTTGACATTATTTTGATACACTGGACTAGTAGAAGAATTCACAGACTGATTATGGCTATCTGCCTCTAACCAGTCAATGTCCAAAGAATTTAATCCAGACGTTGATGAGAGGTGTACAAATTCATTCGATGTGCCTGGAATTCGAGAAAAATATCAGTTCATTACTTAAGAAAATAAAAATCTAAAAATTAGTAATTTTTACAAACTGAAAAGAATGTCTACAATAACAAAACTACCCTGAAATTTCAGATACTGCTTCAATAACTTTTAATTTTTAGATTGTTTTAAATATGAAGTAAATTTGAATTCCCATAGTAATATCCAAATGAACGCAGATAGTGCATATCCATAATATATCTAAGTGGAATAACTGTTCCATAAACAATTACATAAAAATAGAAACATACTGATATACAAAATAGGTATTGCAGACCAATAGTAGAAAGCACAGAAGGATAAAAGTATACTTACAAGATGTATGCAGAATATTAGATCCTTTTAGACCAGACTGCTGACTGACACAAGGTGTAACGAAATCATCATTTAAAGGACTACTCAGTAAATCAGAGATGATTGAACGTGCACATTTTGGAATAGAAAGGTTAATAATATCTGATCCGACATCCGTTCCCAAATGATTAGTTGAAATTCTGTCACTTGATTCACTGATGACATACGGAAACAAGCAAATATCAATTAACGAGTTATTTCTATTAAACAGATTGAATGTTTAACATTTAATGTTTTCCATACTTACAAGGATGTTTCACAAAATTATTCTATGCTTCAGATAACTCATTATTTACTGAGAACATTCACTCTTAAATATTTCAAAATAGAAATTACCCTTTAAATTAAACTCTAAGTCAGGATGGAAACGTGTATCTGTCAATGACAATACATAGACCTACAACCTCGACTTTCAAAAAGCAATATTCAAATACTAAACAATATATACACGAATATTCGTCAAGATTAGAACGAATAGTTTGACAGTAATTGAGCGCCGAGTATAGAGAAGTCATTATATGTGAAAATTATATTTGAAATATTCTCAGCGATTGAAATTTAACTAATTCCGACGTTTCGTCCAGCTAACTTGTCTGGACTTCTTCAGGGTAATAATCAAAATCAAAATTATCAAAGAAATATATAGTCAGACGGTTATCATCAATTTAGAACATGGCATGTACATATAGCTGCCAATCAGTACAGCTAGAAATGAGAAGCGAATAAGAGTATTTAACTTCAATTACTTAATTAAGCGAAAGAGAAAGACGCAGTTTTACGAGAATGAGATAGATGAAGAGTTATGGGTCACAAGTAATCCAATATTTAGAGCAAGATAGAGAAATAATACAATTCCATCATCCTAACTGCTCTACCCTAATCCCATTCAATATCTCAAACCACTCACTACGAGTATTCCATGAGTTCTAATCATAGAATGTTCACATACCGACATTATTGAGACCAGAAGTGAGTGACATCGCAGAACGATCCCAAATCTTGATTTGCTCATCCTTACCATTATGCCAACCAACTCTCATATCAACCAATATTACACATCTAGGTACGTGGTGGTGGTTAGGTATCCACAATACATATCTTAGATATAAACCTCACTAATGTAACAACACTAGGTTATGATACACATTAACCACCATGTAAAGTATGTTATATTCATGATCACAGTATGGATATGCGAATGAGAGAAACTAGGAGATCAATAGAATTCTGCGACGTGACTTAATGGTTAAGCCTAATTAACTTTAGGAGATCCACAGTAAAACGGCAAAAGCTCACAAATACTACAGACCGATTGTACCAAGATTAAGAATAATTCACATATGTTTTTCGATGAAAAACATCTACACCTTTTCCAATGTCTCGATTAAAATCACACTAAGATAAAGCAACTTACTTGACTGAAATTCCACCATCGATATTGGATCTGTTGATTTTGACATCAACGGATGTTTGAACCATAGGCTTGTCAGGTGACGAGGTTGAAGGGATATTAGAATCGCATGAAAGAAGTTGCTGACCTGACTCTAAATGATTATTACATACAGTATTGGAAAAATATTTCAAAGGACTTAGAGTAGAATCTTCCGAAGCAGAAATATCAAGAATAGTACCTAGATCTTTATCAGACGTATTAGTAATCCTTGGATGAGAACAAAGCAACTGCCAAGCAGTGTTCTCTCTACATAACTTATCATTATTCTGTGAAACGGGTGGCTGTTCTGGATAAGATCTGGGTACCTTCAAAAATTCATCTACAGAACAGGAATCAGAAGTAACACTACTGATATTTATCACTCCATCAACATTAAAACCTGAAATTTCTGGAATGATATCGGGACCAAGATCCTGAAGAAATCCTGACAAATCTTGAGAGGCAATATGATAAGTAGGATCAGTAACTTGGTATGAAACGGATTCCGACTGAGCAGAACCGTTAATTGCTTCGTCTAATGGCCAGTTGGTATTAGGACATTCAGAGTCCGGCGTAGAAATGCAAAAGGTATGATTATCGTTTGGTAGCTGTAAGTGATCACACTTAGACGCAGTGATTTCACCATTAGCTTCAGAAAGATTTCCAAACGCTATACCCTTAATTCCATATAGAGACCTATAAAAACAAAATGAAGAAACGAAATTCCTCATTTAGCAAAATTTTAAATAAAAACTGTCTATGAACATTTTTGTAAAATTCTATCAAGACCGAATAAGCAATTATTCTTCATCATTATTGTTCTAAAATAAAGATGGAAAGTAACATAGTCGGAATTTTTAAAGAGAAATCTCTAAACAATAATATGTACTATGGAAAGAGACGAGAAACTAGGAACTTTTAATTTTAGATTGGTTATATATTTTAGTACATGCAAAGTAACAATTTTTATATAAAGAGAACCACTACCATGCCATAAGGCATGCTAAGTAAATACAAACTCAGGGAAGCGAAAGAATAAACCTGCCCAGTCCTATAAAACAAGTAACACTAGTCACTAAGTTCTATATAATTGTCCAACATTTTCTCACTTGGCCAAAACAAACCCAATGTTCACATAGCTTAAGTGATTTGACCTTAGACAACTTCATCAACAACAATGATCATTGTTTATGAACTCGGATACGATTTATTTCAATACAAAAAAACGTTTATCTCAGATGATACAAGTTATTTCAGATTATCTTCGAATGTCAGATTTTAACTAGTGTTTAAGTGATATAACTCAAATAGTATACGTTCATTAACTTAGAGCTAAAAGTAATCTGGAAGATTAAAGTAATTCTTTACGATAGATAGGAGTGAACCAGATATAGAACGTTCATTTGTTGCTTGCATTTGCCTATAACATATAAGAAAACAGTACAAGAAACTGGACGTAAAAGAGGTGATTGTAAGCAGAAACAATGTGGTAACTAGTCAAGTTTTAACATTTAAAAAACAACAATTAAGACCGTCTACAACAACTATGAGACTATTTTCTTTATTCCGAAGGTATGAATCCACCACGGTTAAATCAACAATGTTCCACATAGTGTCGGTTCTATATTTCCCAAAACAGAATCCAGATTGATAATAGGAACAATACCTGTGGATATAAATACTGAACATAGAAGAACTGCCTGGTCTAAGGTACTTAGTTCGATATGTATTCGTGTCAATCGACATACCATTTACGTCTTTTTTGGATGATCAATCACATCAGAATACAAAAAAGAGTAGCCACAAGTCATTTATAATTACACAGATGAACTATAAAGAACATCGTATAAAATATCTTAGTAAACAACTACCATACTGAATGTCACTCTAACTGATTATTAATTCTGAAAGGTAGAAGATACAACAAACACTACTGTTTCCACTATGCATTTAGCGATAGATAAGAAGATGGATATCTATCGTCTACTATTATTGAGTCATTTGACTTTGTTTGTTTCTTTGCAACCATGTTGGTACGTGTTTAGATACCCTAATTTGTGTAGCTAGACACACTCGAATTGATGAACACAGTAATATGTGACTATTTATTATTTATTTGAACACATAAATATTAATACAAGAGGGCACCAAATACATATGCGCCACACAAAACAACGAGAATTCGAAGAGAAGGAAAACAAGGCAAGGAGCGTAAAAAAAATTAATGTAAAGATTAGTGTAAGGTAGTGTAAAATAATAATAATAATTGCGGAAACGCAAAGGTACAATCAGAAAAAATCTTTCAGTTAAGGAAGATACAACCACTGCTTATGAAGAAAGTAAAAGAAGGTTACAGCAGGATCGCCACTGGCTTCTATTCTGAGCCATATCTGATATTGTCTCTAGTCACTGTGTAGCACCATCTCTCGGACCCCAACCAGGGAATCAAGAAGGACCAACACAAGCCAGCCCTTTGCAGCTTTCTTTCATGCCACGACACCATGTCATGCACTGACCACCTCTCCGCTTCTTCCAACCAGTCTCAGAGTCGGCAAACAATGCACGACGTGGAATTCTCTGGGACGACATTCGTAGAACATGTCCAAGCCGCCGAAGTCGGTGTTTCAAGATGGTGACACCGATTGCATTATCATCTCTGTGCCCGAACACACGATGCCGAACCTCTGCATTACTGACATGGTGTTGCCACTGGATGTCAGCAATCCTTCGGAGACAACAATGATCAAACACAGAGAGTCGTCTAACGTCCTCAACTCGGAGAGGCCAGGTTTCACAAGCATAGAGCAAAACTGCACTCACCGAAGCTCTGCAGATCCAACCATTTTCAGCCAGACTATTATCACTAAGGCGCCAAAGATGGCCCACATTGGCATAAGCCTCTCTGGCTTTCACTATTCGTGAATTGCTCTTATTGCTCATGTCACTACCAGCACTTATGCAGCTACCTAGATACACGAACTTCTCAACTACTTCTATCTGTTCACCATCCAGAGTGAGTACAGGATTAGAATCCTGCAAGTCTTGTAGAAGTACTTTGCACTGAGAAGGTGCAAAGTACATACCGTACCTACGGACACTGATTGCCAACTGATTAAGTGCGGATTGCATGCTTTGGGTATCATCGCACAGTAAGGCAATATCACCTGCATACTCAAGATCGAGAAGGCTTTCTCCAGGCAACAGATCCGCACCACCAGTGCCTACATCCAGCAGATCTGTTTCCAGAATGTCATTGATGGCAAAGTTGAAGAGGAATGGTGAGATTGGGCAACCCTGCCTAGCCCCACTGTTTGAATGGAACAATGGAGAGAGGTGGTTGTATGCCCTCACTCTGCCTGAGATGTTTGTATATAAGGCCTTTAGGATGTTAATAAACTTCTCAGGCACACCCTTCTTCAATAGACAATCCCAGAGAACAGTCCTATCCAACGAATCGAAGGCAGCCCTGATGTCAAGAAACACTACGATTGTTGGCCTTTGATAAGTATGGCGGTGTTCTAACATTTGGCGGAGGGTGAAGATATGATCAATACATCCTCGACCAGAACGAAACCCAGCCTGCTCCTCGCGAGTCAATCTTTCTCGGGTTTTGAACAACCTACGAAGTATGACGGAAGCCAATAGCTTGGACGCAATCGGAAGTAGACTTATCCCCCGATAGTTGTTACAGGAACGACGTGAACCCTTTTTAAAGATAGGGACAACTATCGACTCATTCCATGACGTTGGTACACTCTCTAGTTCCCAAACCTTTGTAAACAACGTCGTCAATTCCTTAGTCAAAAAGTCACCACCATCTTTAAAAAGAGCCGGAGGTAAGTCATCTGGGCCAGGTGATTTGTAACGCTTCAAGAGTTGGAGTTCCTTGCGGACTTCCGCCTCATTTGGTGGATCAGTCGTCACCGGCCATGGAGGGCAGGACAGTCTGATCGATGTTGCCGGGGCAGCAGGCCAGTTGAACTGCCCTTCGAAAAATTCTGCCCACCGTCCAAGACGTCGATGGATGTTAGTGATTGGCATCCCGTCATACTCACAGATTGTTTCAATCACACCAGACTTCTTGCTGCTAGTGGCTTGGATGAGTTGGAAGAGCTTCCGGTTATTACCAGATGCAGTGGCTGCTTCCAGCTCATTAGCACGCTCCGACCACCAGGATTCTCGGTCCTTACGCAAGCTTTGCCCAATTTCCTTACGTAACATCCTTCGTTTGTAGTCAAACTCACGGTCACCCGGAGTAGACCGACGGGCTTCAATGAGTTGTAAGGAGCCTGAAGAAACCCAGTGCTTATAAGCGGGACGTTTCGCGAACCCACAACTGACTGTACCCGCCATTTTCATGGCGTCATGCAATTGCAACCAATGCTCATCTATACTTTTCGGTGGAATGGTAGCTAACCTAGAAGCTAGCTTGGCACGATACTTAGTAGCAACAGAAGTTGCAACCAACTTGCTGACATCAATCCTTTGGTGGCGGTCACTTCGTTGGCCACTGAAAAGTAAGGTAAGATTGGCGCAGACCAGGACATGATCAGAGTCCAGATAGGTACTCCAAAAGGAGCGGCAGTCTTGTACACAACCACGCCAGCTGTCGCTGATCGCGATGTGATCAATCTGAGTCCAGGATTGAGATGCAGAAGGAGGACGCCAGGGCTGCAATCAAGAATGTGATCCAATCGTTTACATCCTGTTTAGGTTTATGGTGAAGCATAGAGCTTGTTCTTTCAATGATAATGACTTTTGCTGAATAGCACGTCTTACTAAAAACTGATTTGAGCCTTTATTTCAACACAGGACTATTTAACTCACCTCCAAATGGTAGAGAGATGTAGACAGGCTTTTACAGTACCAAAAATGTAGTAGGTCTCACTATACTGTGACTTTACAATCGATTTGTGAATTTCATAGGATGGCCATGCTCCATCAGTGTCTTGTTCAGTAACCTCACTTTGTCTTCAGTCGTACCGTCTATACAAATACGATCAATCCTATTAAGTAGATCCTCAATCAAGCCTCGCTATATATATATATATATATATATATATATATATATATATATATATATATATATATTTTTGTAACAGCATATTTGTGAACAAGGAATGTCACATTGGAAGAATACATTGTCTTTCCCTCGAAAATAATGTCACGTAAACAATCCATACACTCAGAAGAATCCGTCAGAGAATAGTTACATAAAAGACTTAGGTAATATTGATTTATTATCCAGCATGGTGAGTTTCGGTTCACTTTCTTTAGTATCTCCATTTCCTTTTACCTTAAATTTACCTAGTTGACCCTTTATTTCTCATATTTAAATGTTCTTAATAAGTGTATCTGTGATCCGATAGTTCTAAATGTATTGTGTTAATATGTAACAGTTCTGATAATCTTTATTTTCTTACTACACTGTCCAGATAAACCAGTATAGAAAAATATAATTTACAGAATACGTATCAAGAGTGAAAGTTTTTGAACAACAACATCGACTTCAAATATTGTAACTTAACCTATAGTGGGTCCAATCCAAAAAATAAATGATACCCTCGGGTTATTCATTCGAGCCCTCAATGTATTGTATAATAGTATGCACCCGACGTTCTACAACATAAGAGAATACAGGACTACCTAATCAAAATCAAAGTGACCATCAAGCATCATTGTACTTGAAATATCAACAACTAAGATACATCCAGTAGTTAGTAATACATCTGGACTAACTAGGATTACAAAACAGCATTAAAAACGAAATCATAGTATCTCGATACTTAAGTGATAAGTCAGACACGTATGCTAAAATTACTAACAATAATAAAATACTAATAGTAGAAATTATTTAAAAGAGATAACTTACGATTGACTTGATCTTCAGGGGTATGTATAACGGGAGCTGTATGTTTGATACTTCCAGCAAACTTCGATGTTGGAAATTCACTTGGTTTGGATGCGTCTTGATAGGCATTTTTGAAAACGCCAGAATCTTGCTTTACTTGATCAGACACAGAAGGCAAATTCGACCTGTTCAATATCTGCCACCCAGAAGCTAATAATGGACGTAACTGACAGGCTTTATTCAAAATAGACGACACATCAGTTAACAGACCTCGTTTTGAAAATTCAGAGTTAAGGTCATGTGATCGTAGTAACCCCGTACGCCATTCGTTTTTGCGGGATTTCCTAGCTGGACGTAAGACCATCCGACAATTATTACAAACAACAGGTGAACAAAGTTCGTTATTACTCAACAAGTCTACATTCGAAAATAGTTTCGAGTCAAATGAAGTACCACCGCACAAACGATGAAACCAACATAAACAATGTGAACATTGAATAAGACCAAGTTCTTTTTCTGTAGCATATGCTCGTGCATTGCAACAGTGACAAGAAAGAAGTCTGGTGAACTCAGGAGCACTTGATCTATCAGAATAGGGTTCAATAAAAACAAGAAAATAAATCTATATGAAGACGACAAAAAACCTATGATCGCATCCATATAAAACAAAACAAACTTGAGTTAAGTTAAATTCATTTTGAAACAAGTGCATACAGTTTGGAACTGCAACACCATTAAATAACAATTTTAAAGATGTAGGTGCAAGTATTAAAAACATGAAGAATGAGAAAGGGATCCAACTTCATGATTGTAAATCGCACTCCATTATAAAAGTAAGTACTTTTAATACATAAAAAAACCATTCAGAATATACAGAGACTTCAAACTCTGTTGGCAAATAGAGAACTTAAAACTGCATTTTCTTTATTTTTCATTAAGCTTAGCAGTGTCATGAATTAAAACTACTGAGGAAAGTAAGCAATAGATAACTCATATACGTCTTCTGGACGGTGATTACACAATAAACTAGTCCCTTTTAGTTATGCGGGACATTTACATTTAAAAAATGCATTTAAAGGTATTGACTAAGACAAGTTTTTAAAGGTGTTTCGGGCAAAATTAACTATAAAAAAGCCACAGAAGTCATCAGACAAAAACCATCTTTGAACAAAAGTCAGGAATGAGAAAAGCTAGTGAATAATAAGATAACTACTATAAAACCAAATACCTTGGTTTTTCCTTTGAGATTGGCCCAAGAGAAGATAACTGCATATGAGATTTCCATGGCAAATATCGATTCTGATAAATTTCTTTTTTCGTGTGTGTTGTGGATTTTGTGCTACCAGATACACTTTTGTGATAATTAACAATGTGAGCGTCGAGTAATTTTGAATTTCGCAACTGACGAGAGCAGTGAGGGCATGGATATACAACAGGAGCAGCTGATTTGGCGGGAACTTTCGTGAAAATCTCTCTTGAGATAGGCATACTAGATATTTTTATTTCTGCTTCTCTTTTGTATACTATAGTTCGACGTGGTCGTTCATCACATTTACTTGACTCAGACAAATTTAATGAACTGTTTGAGAGATGAGATGCCTTCTCTAAAAGCTTCGTTTCTTTCTTTAGGAAAAAGCATTATACTGACATTATCATAAATAGAAGCAGTATCTAACTAAAATATAATACACGAAATTGGCAAAAAGGACACATTAAAAACGAACACTGATACGACAAACATAATCTTTCATTGTGAGTAGTATTACAGCCCCTTATAATGGCTTCAGTTTAGTTTCAACTTCACAGAATCAAGCAAAACTGACCACTGCCTCTTTACACAGTGATTTACAGATTTATCTGCATAACTATGTAGGAAAAAATATGGTACACTATGAGAGAAAAGACAAATGTCACTATGTAAAATATAACAAAACATGAGGATCTGATGAGGTCGGAAAATAATGCACATTAATAATGAGTAAAAAAAGCCAACCAATACACTTATCAGCTTTTCGTCATACAGCTTGTGTAGAAGTTATGAATTTTACCAAAAATAAGTTCAGCATTATTCCTAGAAAATATCTGGCGGTCCCAAACCCCAAGCAGCCTGACCAGGGAGTCATCATATATTACAAGCTAACCTGCTTTTCCATCACTCCACGCTACGTAATAAAACTGTTGGGCTTTGCATGACCTGGAACAATGGTATTGTGTCTAAGTGACACATAACATAAATACTGAAGTTGAGACGCTTTTGTAAAATGAAATGTAGGGATAAACAATCATATTATTAACCATCAGTCACTCAATAAAAGAGACTAGTATAATACCAAAGTGATGAAAACCAGATGTTTAAAAAACACTTCTCATACAAGGCTCACATAAAAAGATATAACAATGACCCATGTAATCAATGACTGTTGACTTGAGTCCCATAAGGAAATCCAAATTTGATAGGTGCCACCTACAAAACCACATAAATCGATTACTGAAAACTCCGAGTGTTGTGGCTTAAGATCCACGACCGTGAATATCGCACTGTCTCAAACGTTCAACTCCCCATTATACTCGAGAAAAGAATGACATATAAAAGTTGATATCAGGACGCTGAACATGTTGGTTGTAAACTTATTACATTAACCACTGTTCCTAAAACACTTAACACAAATACAGTTGGCTACGAATCATTTTTATCATGTCTGTCACTATTAGATCATTAACAACCCAGTATTCCACTCAACCGGTTTCAAATCAAAGCACGGCTTGAAGAGAAACATAAGTACATTTTCAAGCAGAAGCCAAAGTTAATCAGTTATATATCGGTTAACATAATTATAATTTACGAACAGAGTAATTGTCACTGAATATAAATACCACGGTGAACTTATTAATACAATAAAAATACATTAATAATAAAATAACGAGCTTCATACTAAATAAGTCAATGCATATAAGAATATACTAAGAACCAATGAACCAAGCTCACTGTAAATCATTTATGATTTCTGAAATTGATTTCTTCACAAATGTAGAATCTAGAGATAAAATAACTTAGGTTTAAACTCTGAACGCTTTAATAACATGTCCCTACTCGTTTGCTATCACTTTTACTTCTCTCATACTAACTTTATGATGTATGACAACTGTTTTCGTTTTAATCTGATCTGAGGTCTCTTAAACTTGAGCTTCCCTTAAACTGGTGGCTATGAGTACTAATCACTTAATTACATACAGAAAAGTATGAAAACACAAGATTTGCTGGGACAAAATGACGATATGAAGATTCTGTATTTTGAAAACATGAAATCGATTGTGACGGATACCAATCCTTCGTTATAAAGCTCGATATTGTAAGCAACACTATGTAGATACAGACAACTAGTACAAGTAAAAAGATCTAAGATGCTACTTCACATAACGAACTGGTTATTACAGGTCATCCTGACACGGAAAAGAGTAAGTGGGTGTCAACCTCCTTGAGCTCTCATATAACTGGGTGCTTGTCTTCCAACATAGAACTTTACTTCCCGGTGTTTTACAAAAGAGTAGGAAGACATCCAACACAGGATGGGATGGCGAACATATTAAGTGTACCTAAAGGCGTTGGGTTGGATCCCAAAATTGTGAGGGAAATAATGACATATAGACAGGCTTAAGTAACCAGGAACAATGAATATACATTTCCTGACGTTGTTGACTTGCTGCGCAAATCAAACTATCAGGTCAAAGGGATATGAAGTGATTCCTGTGGAGTATCTATTTCAGCTACTAAGGTTTCTTCATTCAATCACTAACACTTACAAAAACTATCGTCAGGCTAATTTAACCCCTGTAATCGACCGTACAACTAGGGAATATCACTTAAGAGTACAAATTATAAGCACTGCAAACTGTGACCACAAAAATTATTTGATAGGTTTCAGATGATAAAAATTATACTTACTATTTCGTCACTTTTCTGAGAGGATGAGATTGGCGATCCCAATGGTGGCGTAACTGTGTTTTCCGTTGTATAATTTTCAGCTCTTACAGAACTACTTTTAGGGCTGTTCAGTAAATTGGGATCACGTCTTGTTTGGTGATTTGACCTTTCAGAGGATGTTTGACCTAAGGCAGACACAGAACCATCAAATCCATATAGATACATCTCATTCTCTTCGATAGCTTTTCTCTTCAATTCACGGCGTCTTCGACAGGCCTCATGAAATTGAAAAACAATCTTGTCATAAACCATTCCATCCTGCTCGATAATCCCATCATACAATGTTGGGTGAAGAATCTTCTTGTCTTCTAAGACAGATGAACTGCTAGTACTTGCACGAGTAGGACGTGATCGATACTTTGGTATTTCAGGATCTAAGGCACGGTCTGTTGACCTGCTTTCTGACAGAGTTGTTCTTATTCTTTTAGCTCGAGGTATTCCTGATATATACTCACTACTACTACTACTACTACTACACGAATGTTGCAGATCAAATTTATTGGGGATTTTATTTGCAGGTTGTGAGCCTTGCTCTTTGCAAAATTTCAAAACATAATCGATTTCATATTGAGTTGCTTTGCGTAACTTGTTGACGGGTGTCCACTCTACAACACGATCCCAAATATAGCGCAAACGATACTCTGCTCTTGTGCCGTGTCGCTGACGATGGGCTAGAACCTCAGCAAGATATTCGAAGTCGTTGCGCCATGCAGCCATTACATAGCTACCCACGTCAAAATGGCTAGCACTGGTTTCTGGACTTTTGTTCATCGAACAGTTAAAAGGGTAGGGTTTTACAGTTTCGCAGTATCATTTGTGAAGTCTTTTTTCACAGCGCGTAAGCATTTTGAATTTATCGGATACCAAGAGTCATAACGTGAACTCCAATCACAAAAATGAACATGAACCTGGAAATAAAAGAACACGTTCTTTGCAAATAACGAGTTATGTAAATCATTTAACGATTACGCAGTTACGTACCTGCTTTAAAACCATAACATTGTATGAGGAATAGTGATACCACACGTCCGCTTAAACCCGAGTAGGAGCTGGATGCAGAAAGTAACTCGCCGATTGGAAGTTAGTGCCCTCAAATGTGGGGAGAGTCCAATCTCCCTCTCCAAATGCTCTCACATGGCCACGTGTATACAGCCACTGTCAGGGAAGTCCTATCCTACCTTCTCGAAGGGAGGGTGACGTTTACGAAATTGAGAGGGCGAAAAGCGAATGTTCGATCGTTTAACCAAGTTGGTTGATACGGAGGATCTACCTAGGGGAGTTGGAAAACCTTGATTCCAAACCAATGACGCACATAGAGTCCTGGATCGTTAGAGAACAACTGATGTATTAACCCATTCTCGGTCACCAAGTACCATAAGACTGCATCTCTTACCGTTGCTCCATTGCCTTGTGGATTATACGCTTAGTTCAAATACTCAAGGAGTGTCTTCCTAGGAAAACCACCTGCTTCGATTCGGGCACCCGGACAGTACTCCAGCCCCCATATAAATTGAATCATTTATGTAGTGCATATATATTTCTTGCCTTCATGTCAGTCAGCTACAACGTAGGACCAGGCACATATATGCAACGGCCCAAGTTACCACACCACATTAGCACAGGATAAACACCAAATTTATAGTAGTCACTTCAATGGTAGTAATATAAAAAGGGATATAGGAAGAAAGAAGTAGTTCGTAGAAATAAAGGTATAAGGCAATTTTAATCTCACGGTTTAAGGGAAGACAAAGGGTGTATACACCTACACCATTGTGATCGATCCTGAGTTATGTCACCCAGTGTCTAACCATTTGTTACGATAGTCGCGCGGACCCCAACCAAGTTGTCTGCACCTACCAACATGGCTCAGACTAGAAGCTAATGACTTCAGAGACTGATGCCACGTTTTGGTTTGACCTCCCCTAACTTTCTTCCAACCATCCCCAACACTAGTCAGCATTGCGTGTCGCAGTAATCGGTGTTCAGGCATGCGTGCCACGTGGCCCATCCATAATACCCTGTGTCCAATTTCATTATTACCTGCCCGGTGATCCTAGCAGATGCGAACTATACTTCTAAGGCATCTGTAGTCAAATACTAATGGTTTATGAGTATCTTCTACTCTTGATGGCCACGTTTCACAGCCACAAAGTAGAACAGAACGAACTGCCGCGCAGTATACTCGTCCTTTTATTGATAGACAGATATCTCGCCTTCGCCACAGATGACGTAAGTTGACAAAAGCCAAACAAGCTTTTCGAATCCGTGCTGAAATCTCGTCAGACACCAATACATTTGGGATGACCAGACTTCGAAGATAAGTGAAGTTGTCAACGCGTTTGACTACTTCACTCCCTATCTTTAGTTCAAGTGTTGACGCAGGCCAGTTCTGAAGCGACAACGTGCATTTAGAGGGAGAGAAACGCATTCCAAACATCCTGACATTGTTGCTCAGGCCACCAAAAGACTGTATTTTATCAGTGTTCTCACCAAACAGGACTATATCATCTGCGTATTCTAAGTCGATAAGTGGACTTCCTGGAAGGAGATCAATGCCCGAAAACTCAGTCGACGAGAGCGTTATTTCCATCAGTACATCTACAATGAAGTTGAACAAAAATGGAGATGGTGGACAGTCTTGATGGGCACAAATTAAGGTTGGAAAATCAGATAACAGTTCGCCATAAGCTCTGACACGATTAGTAGTGTTCGAGTAAACAGCCTTCACAAGGTCTATGTACTTCTGAGGTATACCTTTCAATGACAGACACTGCCAATTGAGACTAACTTATAACTGAACGAGAACATATCCAGCCACAGACCAATCGAATGTTGATCAATTATCTGCAAAGCTATTTCAATAATGTTGTTTGCTTTGATTATAAACTTGAACTAATCCGCGCTCTGGAGACAAATAGGTTTCCATAAAGGTATATAAAGCACCCCAATAATCTCATTACTGAATTCACCTGTTTGATGTTCGCTTTAGAAATAAAAATGAAGTTAAAGTGAGTCAGTCAGTCAGTAACAACGTAGAACTTCGTACGTACGTACATCAGTTCGAGTTGCCACACCACATTAGCACAGAGATGCACTTGTCGATTCAAATCCCGTAGTGGTAGAGGTAATAAGAGTATAAGCAGTAATCGGGAAGATTAGGGTTTGGAGATGTTATTTAAAGAGTATAATCCAGTGAAAGAAATTTGGAAAGAGGAAAAAAAGGGACATGAAGAATTCAGAAGATTAGAATTTGGGAGAACACAGAGAGTGGATGCACCTGCGCCATTGCAAACGATTTTGAGCCATGTCATTCAGGGTCTCTAACCATCGGTTGCTGTCATCTCGCGGTCCCCAACCAGGTAGTCTACACCTACCAACATGACTCAGTTCACTTGTCAGTGACTTCATGGACTTGTGCCATGTTTTGGTTTGGCCGCCCCTAGCTTTCTTCCAACCTACTCCTATACCACTGAACATAGCACGTCGAGGCAGTCGGTCGTTGGGCATACGTAACACGTGTCCCAGCCATCTCAACTGATGAAGTTTCACTACGTCATCAATTGATTTGCCATCCTTACCTAGTACCCGTTTCCTAACAACTGTGTTACTTACTCGATGGTCCCATGATATATGAGCAATGTTTCGAAGACACCTATGATCAAATACTAGTAACCTACGGATATCCTCTACTCTTACCGGCCATGTTTCACTGCCATAAAGTAGGACGGAACGAACTGCTGCGCAGTAAACACGTCCTTTGGTTGATAGACGGATATCTCGCCTACGCCATAAATGACGCAAGTTGGCAAAAGCTAGTCGAGCCTTCTGTATCCGTGCTGAGATTTCGTCACACACTAAACCACAAGGGCTGATGAGACTTCCAAGATAAGTGAAGCGGTCGACACACTCAACTACTTCACTCCCTATCACTAGTTCGGGTGTCGATGTAACCCAATCCTGAAGCAACATTTTGCATTTCGAGGGAGAGAATCGCATCCCGAACATGCTTGCATTGTTGCTTAGAGTGGCCAGAAGACTCTGCATTTTGTCAGTGTCTTCACCAAATAAAACTATGTCATCAGCATATTCTAAGTCAACAAGTGAACCTCCTGGTAGAAGTTCAACCCCTGTAAATTTAGATGAGGAGAGTGTTATCTCTAAAAGTACGTCGACCACAAAGTTGAACAAGAATGGGGAGAGTGGACAGCCCTGACGAACACCACTTGAGGTAATCAATTCTGATGACAGTTCGCCATAAGCTCTCACTCGACCAGTTGTGTTCGAGTAGAGAGCCTTTATAAGGTTAATGTACTTCTTTGGTACTCCTTTCAGTGACAAACACTGCCATAGAACCTCACGATCAATCGAGTCGAATGCCGCCTTAAGGTCGAGAAATACTACCATTGTGGGGCGTCTGAATGTGTGTCTGTGTTCTAGAACCTGACGTAGTGTGAATATCTGATCTATACAACCACGTCCAGGTCGAAAACCAGCCTGGTTTTCTCTAGTCTGCTCTTCACGAGCTTTAGTTAGGCGTCGAAGTATTATTGAAGCTAATATTTTAGACACTATATTAGTCAAACTGATTCCTCTGTGATTGTCACAAGAGGACTTTTGTCCTTTCTTAAAAACTGGCACAATCAGTGATTGAGACCAGTCAGATGGGATTACGTCCAGTTCCCAAATTCTACCTAAGACCTCAGTTAATCTCATTGCTAATACTGGACCACCATCCTTAAAAATCTCAGGAGTAAACCTGTCAGGGCCTGCTGCTCTCCCTCGTTTCAGATTTCCTATGGCTTTTTCAACTTCGTAAAGGGACGGAGGACCTACATTAACTTGCCATTCAGGTTGACTGGAGATCGTGGGAAACCGAAGTGTGGCTGAAGGCCAGTTGAACTGATCCCTAAAGTGTTCTGCCCATCGATCCAATCTCCTGGATTGAGAATGAATAATATGTCCATCTTTCTCTGAGATTGTTTCGCTAACGGTCGGGTTCCTAATTCCGGTTTCCTTAACGAGTCTGAACAATTGTCTGCTATTACCTATTGCCGCTGCCTTTTCCATCTCTCTTGCTTTCGCTACCCACCACTGTTCGCGATCATTGCGTAGACTTCTTGTCAGCTTGCGCTTAAGCTGACTCCGCTCTTCATTATGTTCAGAGCCAGGTGGAATGAGTTTCCGAGCATCTATCAGTGAGATAGATGCTGCTGAGATCCAGTGTTGCTCCCTAACCTTCTGGTTTACCTTACTAGCAGATATCACTGCTGTTTCCACAGCTTTTCGGATATCATTCCATGCTGCATCGGGGTGGGCATCACATACATGGCTGCCTAACTGTTTTCCTAGTTGTTCCTGAAATATACTCTTAGCTTGACTATCATTAAGTAGGGCCCTAAGAGGTTTCCTTGCAGCGTCTTTCCTACGTCCAGTAAGACGCAAGCAAATACGCGCTCGCACTAGAGCATGATCTGAATCTAGGCATGTGCTCCAGAATGAGCGACAGTCTTCTATCGAGCCCCTCCATCGGTGGCTGATAGCGATGTGATCTATTTGGGTCCAACGTTGGGACGAATTAGGGGGTCGCCATGTTAAAAGATGTTTTTCCTTATGCTTAAAGTTAGTATTTGCAAGGAACAGGCGGTTATCTGAGCATAGCTGCAACAGACGGTCGCCATTATCTGTTCTTTGAGCCACGACACCATAAGATCCACCTAGGTGTCTTTCCTTATCGCTTAGTTTACCTACTTGAGCATTAAAGTCACCGGCCA